TCAATTTGAATATTTGAAAATTTGGACACTTACGTTCTGTGTGCCACTTTGAAACAACGGTTAACGGTTTTACCTAAACTGCTAAATATAGGTGTTTGGTAAATTTACATATTTCAAAACCGCTATAAATAAAGTGTTTGGTAAAATTTTTATTTAGTAGTTTGAAACTAGTGGATAGCGGTTAGAATCCAAATCGCTAGCGAATGAAAAAAACTAGTTTATGTAACTTTTTGTATCGAATCGCTAACGGATTAAAATTTTTTAATTTTATTTACAAATTTATCTATTTTAAATTTTTAATTTGTGGTTACATTTTTAATTAATAATTATCTAATAAATTTCAATTTTATTTTTTTATTTTTTATTATTTTTTTATAAAATTAATAATTTTAATAATAAAAAAATAAAAATATTTTAAAATATATACTTATTTGTTTTTAAGTATATTCTTATTAGTCATTTAATGTTAAATAACAATCGCTAACCATTGTATAACTAAACAGTTATATTTATCAAATCCGTTATTTATCATCTACTATCCACTTTTCGCTATCCGTCATCCGCTATCCGTCATCCGCTATCAGCTAATCGCTATCAGCTACCCGCTATTTGTTACCCGCTACCCGCTACCCGCTACCCGCTACTTGCTATCCGTTACCCGCTACTTGCTACCTGCTATCGCTATCCACTATCCGTTAAATTTTAACCACTGTACCAAACAGGCCCTTAATTTAGATTTAAGTTAGGTTACACTAAAAAAAAAACGTTTTTAACGTTTATTTTCTTATTTATAAAATTTAAATTTTATATTTTATTTAACTCATACATTCGACTCTCGTCAATTATTACTTGCCTCTTTTTTTTTTTTTTTTGGTTTTTCGTCCACTATTCGAAGCTTCGTCCCGATTAATCTGGACTCGATCCACATCGTGTACCTAAAAATGGTGAGTGAGTCTCCCAACGAAAACTGCTGCGTACATAAAGTCTCAAACTTGAGACCTTACTTAAGCGGGGACAAACTACTTATCACTTGATTCAACCCCTCGTTTGGTATTACTTGCCTCTTTTTCTCACTTAAAATTTCACATTGTAATTACCATTTGACCTTAAAAGTGGCTCGAAGAGCGTGCTGGCTGTTTCAGGTTTGTTTTGGGAGGTATTGTGGTCTTTTTACCTTAAACCCTCTGTCCCCTAGCAACCTTCAGTCTTTAAAATCACCCTTTTACCCTTCAATTTCCTCCTGTAACTTCCCTCTGGATTAGATAGTGAGGAGCAAAATGGTAATTTACTTATTAAACCATTTTCCCCACTTTTCTTT